CTTTCAAGCATCCTGCTTAGAAAGACAACTGAGGCCCACAGAGGCAAACCAACTTGTCCAGTGTTATAGAACGCGTTAGGAACAGCCTGGACTGGAAGCCTGGGTCTCCAGATTGCCAGTCCTCTGTTCTTATGTGGAATAGAGGCAATGAAGTGGGAAGCTGTATAACATAAATATGCCACAGTTCATGTCCGGCAGTTGTTTTGGGCCTAAAAGTTTTATAAAAGTACAATATGCTTTTTGGAAAATTAAAAAAAATACACAAGTATAGAAAAATAATAAGTGAAAGTCTTGCCCAACCTGGCCCTTAGAGGTGACCCATATTAACATTTTGGAACATAGTCTGCTTTTCGCTCTCCTAAGTATTTGTGTGTATATAAAATCACACACACACACACACACACACAGACACATAGACACACACACACACATGCATACACACATGTACCTGTTCTGTAAACTTGCTTTTCTCCCTATATTTGGGGTTTCACATCAATATATATAGTTTATTTTGTTAAAAGCTACACAGGATTATTGTACCATAACTTATCCAGTCTCTATTGATCTATATTTGAATTGTTTATTAGGACTCTCTTGGTTGAAAGTGAGAAAATTCCCAACTCAAACTAGTCTAAGTTAAAGGGAGAATTAATTGATTCCCGGATATAACAGAGTAACTAATCACATGACCTCAAAGTCAGATATCTGCATTAAGTTATTATTTGACTCAGTTTCCTCATCTGTAAAGTGAGGATGGTAAAGTACCAATTTCATAGGGTTGTTGTGAGGAGTAAATGAGCTAAGACATGTAAGGTGCTTAGAACACTTGAAATGTTGGCTATGTTATAGAAAACTATACCTTTAAAAAAATAACCTGCTTTTTTGACTTATCCCTAACCTTATAACAATGTCATGGATATTTTTCCAAGTTAGTACATATAGATCTACTTCATTTAAAAAACAATTGTACTGTATTCTATTATACGAACATACCATAATTATTTATGTACTTCTCTAGTTAGAGACATTTAGGTTATTTCTCGCTTTCCACTCTCACAAATGATGTTGCAACATCTTTGTACACATATCCTTCTTTATTTATGCAAGTGTTCTATAGGATAAATTCATAAGATTTTAATTACTTGGTTAGAAGATAAACAGATTTGAAATGTTGAAAGGGACTGCAGAATTTCTTTCTGAAAAAGTTGTATCTATTTTCATACTTGCTGTGGTAAATGAGTGCCTGGTCTTTTCACCACCATTGTGTACTAGAAGCAGTGCTGCCCCAAATCTGCTCACTCAGTTGTATGGCAAACTCAGATTTGTATCCATCCTTTATTGAAGAATTCTATTTTTCCCCACCTCTTAAAAAAATTCTCATTATAAAAGTGATATGTAGTAATTATAATCACCCAAAGTAAAGGGTGAAAAGAATAATCCAGTAGTCTGTGGAGAGTTGTAGAATTCTACAGAAGCTCCCATAGGATAAAGGTCTTGTCAGTCTCGCTCATGTTGGCATTTTCAGTGCCTGAGACAGTGCTTAGCCCAGTGCATATCTGTTGATTGAAGGAATGCCTAAGAAGCCTCACAAAATAATGACAACAAAACCACTAACTTCCCTGAATTTCCTCCCTTCCCCCAAACAGGCAAGATAACTCAAACACAACCCACACACAAGGGAAATAAGGTTTTGACTCTTACCCAATAGTGAATTTCATTTTTTTTCTGTTACTCTGAAAAAGAGAACAACACTGAATGCCCACCCAGGTGATCTTGAACAACTCTAGAAGCGTACCTTAACCTTGGTTTCAATTTTTTTTATTGAGTATCCCCTTTGTATCTGATCGTTCACTCATTTATGCTGTGAACACATGTGGCTATCTATCATGTGCCAAGCACTAGGTATACTGTGATGAATGAAACACAGCCCTGTCCAGGCAACATTCACAGAATCATTTCAGTTTCTCCGAAAAGCAGAACTTTAATTTCTGGAAACTAAGAATCTGATGTCTGCTATAGACTATAAATTCCATGAGGTTAGAACCCATATTGTGTTCTCTACAATATTCCAAGCCTGGCAGACGGGAGGTGCTTAATATGTATTTGTGGGCTGGCTAGCTGAAGTCAGCTCTGTTCTGTTGGCTTCTCCAGTCTATGGCCAGTGGTAGGATAGCAAGAGTATTTTGAACAGGAGAATCTGAAATTCAGGCAGCAAAGCAGGTTGAACAGTTAGACATAAATCACTTGCATTCATCCTCCAAGGATGGCCCCTTTCTCACTACATGCTGGCGGTGGCTCACCCAGGCTCGGAGCCTTAAAATAAGGGGATCTACATCCTAATTTATTGGGATAGCGTTGAATAATATTTGCTTCTGAGGAAGCATTGTGTTTTGCTTGTCTTCTTTGTTTTTTAAGGTATAAAGTTATTGTGACACAGTAGGTTTTTATCTTGGTTAGGTCAAACTTTTTCTGTCTATGAAGCCCAAATATAACATACACAAACCCTTAGTGTTTGAACTGGGACAGACTTAGGTATAACTGGTTCAATGTCATTTTATAGATGAGTGAACTAAGGAGTAATTGGGTTGAGACTTGCCCCAAATGACATTGTATCTCTAGGTTTGATTGCTAGAGACCAAGCTGATAATTATCACTAATCGCTGGCTTGGCATTAGCTTTCAGCTTTGTAATTTCCTCTATCTCCCTTTAGAAGCAGGCAAAGATGGCAGAGAGCTCAAGTAGGTAGATGGGTGGTACAGCTGCCAAATTTCCTTGGGGTATGAGGAATTCTTTCTAACAGTCTCTATCAGAGTGGAGGTTCTGAACTAAGATGGTAAAGAGAAACCACAAGTCAGAACGGTTAACACTATGAACCTGATACAGGCACTTGGGACCCTGGTTGGCTTTCTGCATCCCTCGCTCTGCTGAGCTGCCTCTTGAGAAATGTGGTTCCCATCTTTTTCTCTGCCCACACATGCTCTAGAGTTGAGGACTTTGTTATTACTTTAATAAAAGACTGACGAAGTAGATCTTTTTGGACCCTTCAGGTCATCTCCATAGATTGGTCTATATATTTTCTACCCTGATATAGATTTGAATCTTATACACTTCAAAGAATAAAAATGGATTTAAAAAATAGAGCACAAAAAATAGGGCACAGACTACAAGTATGTTAACATGCAGAAATATGTAATAATAATGATCAGAGAATTTGAAACATTATTAACAACTTAATATTCAGTAGATTTTTCTGAGTAAAATTTAAGCTTATACAGCATTATCTTGAATGTACATATAATAATGGCCATTTGCAATTGCCAATAACTGGATCATTTAATCCACCAAATTATGTAACTTCCATAGGCCATCTTTACAGAAGAAAGTTTTATTTCTCTGTGTTGAAAATGGTGAAATGTCTATATATATATATACATATATATATATATGTATATATATATATATATATATATATATATATATATATTTAAAAGTCTATAGAACTATTTTCCTATAGAATTAAAGTGATCTGAGGGTCAAAATTTGAGAACTCCTGTTCCAGGGTCCCTTTTTACCTGTGACTCCTCAAACCCCTGATCAGGATCTGATCTTGGCCCACACCGAAATATCCCCTTAGTAACAAGGTCTCCAAAGAAAATAATGGATCAGATGAAGTAGCTAACGCTATGTGAAACTTCCTTCCAACTCATTCCAGTTCTTGACCACAGACCCTCTCTGACACCATACATCTATATTTATAATGTGTTGGCTACACGTTTTAGATGACACAGACAACAAATAAGGCATAGAAGAAAAGGAACTTGGAGAAATAAATGACTCATTCATTCTCAGCTCCTCCTGTTATGCTCAGATCTAAGCCTTTGTTTCTATATTCTCCATAGGTTGAGGAAGAGTAACATAATCTACTCAACATTTAGAAATCAGACTAATTACATTTGAAAGCAGTTGCCAGTAACTGCACCATTTAGACTGCCCAATTTCCTAACAATGACAAGCCATCTTTAGGTCAGGGAGTTTTATTTTTCTGTCTTGAAAATGAGATAATCAATTCAATGTGTCTAATAGTTGCATTCACTACAGTATTTGTAATCCACAGAATGGAAATTATAGGAAATTTTATGAAGTTCTATGATTTAAAGTGTTATCTTTTATGTCTTATTTTTTTTCAAAGAAAAAGGAAACCCTGTTTCTTAGTACTCTAGCAAATTCAAAATTTAGTTTTCTTGTGGAGAAAAGATCATGTTTACATGACATTTATGATAAAATTAGATTTCATAGTTCTTGTGGCTTTTTATTTCTGTCCCAAGTAAAATTTCTCCTTATATGGAGAAAGAAAAAAATTAAGGAGGAAATACATCAAAACATTAACAAAATTCGATAATTGTACACAAATTTTTCTTCAAAGAGTATGCATTATTTTGATAATTAAAATATGCCTTTTAGAAATCAGTGGTGGGGGGGAAGGCTATAATTTAAAAAGCCATAAGATGAAAAGAAATCTTATTTGAACCAACAAATCTAAGAGCCAGAAATAGCCCACCAATAATCTTTCACAGACTTTTGCCAAATGTTCTTTCCCATCACGGAATAATTTCTGGCCCACGCTGAGACACAAGAGGGCAGTGGCTCCTTGGAAACCTCGCTGCCAGCTGCTCAAACCGCTCAGCCTGAAACCAGCTAAGTGTGCGGTTCTAATTCATCGCCACTGGGGACAGTCCCATTTCACTTGTAAACTGCTTTTTAAGTAAAGGTTCTTATGCTTTGATTCTTTGAAGACATCATTTCTATGATTAAAACTGAACTAAGGGCCCAGCGGGAGTTAATACGGGGCTAAGGACATAGGTGAAAAGATGGGAAATGAAGAAATAGAAGGGAAATGAAGAAATAGAAGGGAAATGAAGAAATAGAAGGGAAATGAAGAAATAGAAGGGAAATGAAGAAATAGAAACAATTTGCAGTGGAGGTTAGGCAAATGCTCTCAGACTGTGGCTGGAAAAGCTGGAATTGGAAAAGCTGCCGAAGGAGGAGGAGGGTTCAAGCTTTGCTGACCTGAGCGCACAGCTCTGATGCAGGGACCGGTGACCAGCCCAAGAGGAGAACGCTTCTCTGTGGTGGGCGGGTTTATGAGGAAGCTTCCAACCTTTCTTCTCCAGCTTTTCTGCCTCCCAGTCCACCTCTGGTTCATTATCTTTCACCCTGACTAAAACTTCTGCCCTGGTGAGCATATGCATTACTTCAGATAATGCGTAATGTTTTTATTATTATTATTATTGTTTTTTTTTTAGCTGAGCCATCCTGCCACCTTTTGGCAGCTCAAAGTCTTTTTATATTTTTAAATATGTGTATATTTATTTAAATATACATGTATATTTTTCATGTACATTTTTTCATGCATATTTTTCATCTGTGCTTTGACTTTTGACCCCTGACTTTAATGACCTTTATTACTAGAAAAAAAGAACTCCATCATAGAGACTGAAGCTAATATGATAAACCAATAAATGACTGGGACCAAGTGCCAAGGACATCGCATAGGCCTGGCGACATGGACCAAGCTGCTGGTTAAAGGTCCCAATGTGGGCAGAATGGAAATTTTAGAATCTCATTTATTGAACCCAGCAATACATTTCTTTCTGAAGGAGAGAAGCAAGGCGGCACTATAGAAGAATTTACCATTCAAAGACTTTCAGAAGCATTCATGCACATGAAGTTGGCAATCAATAATTGTGAGTCAGATGACCTTAATTTTCAATGTGGTATGTTAGTCTTCACAGAAGTGAAGAAACCCTTTGTTTGCCAGAGGGTGATTTATTAGAAAAAGTTGTCTTCATAAACCATATATTTTGATAAAGTGCAACAAGTCTAAGCCAGGCAGAAAAACCTCTCAAAGGGAACATTTGCTAGTTTTTAGGGCTGTGTGGTTTTACATATTTAATAAATGCTTGCAAATATATTTGGAATTTTTGTTGTACTTTTTGGGATCAATATTATAATTTTTATGATAGGAAATAGCATTGTGCATGTAGAAATTCAGGGTTCAATTCTTTTTTTTTTTTTGACCGTCAACCAGAAATGATTTTGTTGTAAGTTGGGGGCTATTGTGTCTCTATTTTATGGTTTAGGAAACAGTCTGAAATTGATTAAGGGACCAGAATATATATATTCTGCCAGAAAGGATTTAAAACACCTGGATATGCATCTGCTTATGTTTGTTTTTGGGTGGATGGGTGAATGGATGAATGGATGGATGGATACTCTTAAGCCATCCTGCTACCTGTTGGCAGCTCAGCGGCTGCTCAGCTCGGGCTGGACTCGAACTGCTGTTGCTCAGAGCTCAAACTCTTGAGCGAGCTCTTAACCAACTGAGCCACTCAGCCGGCCCTTTTGATGAATACTCTTATGTCTGACAGATCATTTAGGTCAGATCAGCTGAGGCTGGCATGTGAGGTTAGACAACACCTCTATGAGGTTTAGACAGGCCAGTCTCCTGACTGTTAGAAAATATTCTGAGAGCCTATAAACCATTTTGCTATATTCAGGGATACTGACTAACACAGATAGCCAGGCATACCCCTTGCTTCACATGGAGTCCAGAAACCCTGTGGGAAAGAAGTGGAACCCAATCTAGTGTTGTAGTTTAGACACGTAGCAATTGGACTTATGAACTGTGACCCTTAAGAAAGGATTGAAAGCAGAGACAGTAGGACATTTTCTAGTAGAGCCAGCTGGACAGAGCATCTGGATTTGAGATTGTCCTGAGGGAGCAGTGTTCTAGTAGCAGCTGGTCTTGGCCATGTTGGCTTCCAGCCCCTTCAGAGACAGTGTGTGTGCCTGGGAAGAGGAGAGCTATAGTGTAAAGAAAAGAAAGAAAAGAAATAACCACGTCACTAGGAGCCACGAGCTCTGTCTTGGAAACCCTTTTCCCCTTGGCGGGGTGACTGACATGAAGTAACAGGGTCCACTGAAACAGATGGAAAGCTTTTGCGGCAGTCTGATTAAATGTGAAACTAACATCAGCTCAACCCTATGGGGACTCCTGAAACTTGGGTCACACGTGTCACATATGAGTGTGTATATGTGTAAGTTACTAATTCAACAACGCTGTATTTAGTTCATTTCACAGTATCAGATCACTTATTCTCAAATCATCTCTTTTTAAAAGAATAAAGTTAAGAACAAACCAAACTTAGTTATTGTAGATTTGTGATTCTAAACCATAGCCTGCCTCAGAATCCCCTGGAGGGCCCCACCCCCGAGCTGCTGATTCAGTGAGTCTGGGGTGGGCTAAGAATTTGTATTTCCTAATAAGTTTCTTGAAGATGCTGCTGCTGATGATCAGGGGCTATACTTTGAGAATCACTGCTGTAGGAAATTTCCTAGACCTGGAGTTTTAGCTGAAAATATTCTGGAGATCGCAACATGAGAGAGCAGCCCCTTTCATAAGATAGTATCTTAATAAGGTGCGTTCCTGGCTAGGCAGACGTTCTAAGGTTTTCCAAAGGTTTTTATATCTAATAATAAGAGATCCAAGAAGACTTCTTCTCATGCCCGCCTTCAAATCCTTCATTTGGCTTAAACCCTTCCAAAATCATATATAATGAATATTTTCAGGATTGTGTAGGCTTCAAACTTGATCGCATTATACCAGAAACCAAGGACAGTTGATATTGTTCCAATGTCTGGAAATTGAAGCCCATTGCCCAGCGCACCCCATTCTTGGCATCAAGATTTATTGGACTAAGAATGTTCAATCTGAAGGTAACTAGTTGAAAATAGAATTAGAGTAAATGTAATTAATAGTTTTATGGGAACTATGGGGCCATAGTTTCTTACCCCCAAATTTAGATGCATCACCTGAGGCATGGTTTAATACATGTTTTGAAAACATAACAGTATGTTTTAAATTAAAGCTCTTCAACAATGTCCTGGACATATGATTGTCTTACATATGGGAGCCATTCATTTATTCATTCTTTAATAAATATTTATGGAGTCTTATGCCAGGGATGGGGCTAGGTGCTATGGATACAACAATAAACAAGGACTAGGCAAGACTGTGTGGTAGTTGAAACACATTGTGGAGCCAGAGTGCTTGGATTCAAATTCCAACTCTGTCACTTGCTAGCTTGGAAATTTACTTAACCTCTGTGCCTCAGTTTCTTCATCTGTAACATGGAAATAATAACTGCACCTATCTGATAGGAGTGGAATGAGAATTAAATGAGCTAACATTTGTGAAAAGGAGAGAACGCTGTCACATCATGTGTTTTTTTTTAATTAAAAAAAATTTTAAATTAGTTTCAGCTGTACAACACAGAGCAATAGTTATACTTTTTACCCCTCAAAGTGACAACCCCCCTCCCCAATCCACTGCCCACTACCCCCCCATATCATCCATATCTATTACAATTCCATTGACTCATCATGTGTTTTTAAAAATAGTTGTTATCATATACATATACCAGCCTTGTCCTTGAGAAGCTCACAGTATTGGGAGGTAAAGAGTGACACACACAAAAAGCAAATTTCAATAGAATGTAATAAATACTATAATGAAGGTATGAGTGATGTGCTAGAGTTTCTTTGCTGCATGATGGAATACAGTAAACTCTCTGGGGGCTAGATGACATGTGGTTGCCACACACAACTTCCCTTTGTAGAACCACGCTGGAGAACATCCAGCAAGTTTTTATTCTTCCTTTTTATAGTTCCTACTATAAAAACAACCTCCAGGATGCTAATATATAATTACCATAAATGGCTTTCAAAGGCCTTCCTATCAAATTTAAATGACAGTGAAACTCATTTAGTAGACCACCTGCTTGAACTTCATAGGGCACAGGGGCAATTTATGTGAAAATAAGAATTGGGCAACTGTTCTGTAGTTTCTGCAGTTGAAACTCTGGGTGGGGCCCCAAGTGAATTAGATGTGGCAATAACCTTAGAAGTGGTGTGGCCAACATATTCCAGTTTGCATGAGACACTCCCAGTTTTAAAACTGAAGGGTCCCACTTGCTAGGAACCCTCTCGGTCATGGATGACAAAAGTTTAAAATCATTGCAACCATTTTGATAGAAAATGGAAGCTTTAAAAAGAAAATATAAAACAAATAAAATGTTAGATGTCAATTATATGTAAAAAAATTTAAAAATGAATGTTGCAAATGCACTATTTTGGGCTTCATAAAAAAATAAATAATATAACTGTTGGGCCCCTTGACTTGGAAATTGCCGGAACTATAGTAGAAATCAACAGATATTTACTGACTTTCTATTGAAGAGACAGACACCTGTTTCCATTCTTGTTAAGTTGCAATCTGATTTGGGGAACAAGAAATAAGCCAATAGAAAGTTAAATCAAAATACATTTACATACAAGTTCAAGACAATAAGAGAAATGGTTACAAAGTGGCTAATGGTCAAATCAATTTTACATTCTAGAGTTGCTATGAGAATAGAGTTCAGAGGAAAGGAAGAGACCTCACTGGGGCTGGAACATTCAGGGTCAACTTTATAAAGTGGTTCTACTTTACAATGGTTTGGAGGAAGTGTGGGGTTTTGATACATCGAGATGAAGGGAGGAGCCATTGCAGGAAGATGGTACAGCACAGGTAAATCCACAGGACTGGGAGAAGCATAAGGCAAATCCAGGGGACAGGGAGGAGGTGGAAGGAGAGGAGACAGGCGTGAGATGAAGTTAGTATTCATACGAAGTTCTGCGGCAGCAAACAGACTCTTAAGCATGGGTTAGAGGATTGTCTGTCAAAAGACCACTCTCTTTCCCTTGTATGGAGAAATACTACCTTTCTCCCTAAATTTTTCTATTTCCAAACCCTAATTATAATGCAATGAAAGTAGTTCTTTGTTTTGGTTATCTAGTGTTGAAAAACAAACCACCCTAAACTTTCTGTGGGCTTTTTCAAGGAAGTTGGCCGCCCTACGTGGCAGTTTGCTTTCCATGGAGTGCGGAGTTTGAAAGCAGAAGCTTCTAGGCTTCTTAAGTTCTAGGCCCCATTCTATTGGTTAAAGCATGTCACAGAGCCATCAAGAGTCATGAAGAGGGGACTACACAAGTGTGTGAATGCAAGAAGGCATGGCTTATGGCAGTTTACTAATGTGACAGCCTTCCACACTCTGAGGCTTCTATTGCAAGGCTCTTCAGTCAAAAACATTTTATAACACAGAGGTTTTACTTAACATTTAATTTTATGGATCTCTGCTTAGAAGAAGAAGGCAGTCAGCAATCTGCCCACAGGGAAAACATAAGCTAAACAGGAAGTTAGGTCTATTGAGTTCTAAAAGAGACAGCTGTGTAAGACTGACCAAGGCCCTGAAGCTGGGTGGGGGCCAAGCCCAGGACAGAGTATCCGGAAGGGAATCCAGTGTTTGGATTTGAGCTACAAGGGCTGGCCAGCAGCCTGCACCCTTCCGGCAAAAGTGCCCTGCGGTTCTTGTTCACATCTGCAGGGAAAGGTACTGGAAGCAGAGAATTGGCCTAGTCATCCACAGAGCACCGGCTGCTCGGCTGCTGGACCGCTGGACATGTGAGAGCACCTAGGAATTAAGTGAGATTCTGGCAAGATTGGGAAGATTTGGGGCTAGGAGAGTTGTCATGGTTTCTAGAGTCAGTCGATGCCAGATAAGTTTTTTCCATGGGTTATACTGTAGAGTTACATAGGATTGTTGACAGTAACTTTTTGCACTAGCTTTCCTTTGTCTTCCTCCCC